GTGGTGCTGGGGATCGAACCGCGGTCCCTGTGCTTTGCCAAGCTTGTTTCAAGTAGGTGCTTTAGACCACTGAGCCATCTCTCCAGCCCCCCTGAAAGAACTTTAATAGATAGTAGACCTAGTAGAAAGTTTCTTGGGTTTTTTTGATATTAGGATGTAAATAGCATAATTTTAATATATCAGTCATGGTGTATATAGTACTTAAAAGTGACCTCAACTCAGTTAAACTATTATATTTCAAGGAATGTAACAATGATATTAAAATTACTACATTAAGGGGTTGCCTAAAAGAAATATTTTGGTCTTCTAATTACACTAATTGAAGAATATGTTTAATTAATTAATTAATTAATTAATTTTTTTTGGCAGAATCAGGGATTGAACTCAGGCCCTTACGCTTGCCAGGGAAGCGCTTATTCTACTGAGCCATCTCCCTGACCCCCTGTTTAATTTAGATGGATGCAGAATGTCCATATAGAGCGCTGGGCTGATAGCTCAGTGGCATAAGCAACTGCCTGGCAAGCACAGGGTCCTAAATTCAATCCCCAGTACCCCCAAAACAAAAGTATAACAAGGAAAAACACAAGATTAGTACATATAACAGATTTTCATAAAGAACAGTTAACTACATAAATTGTTAAGTAATAAATAAAAACCAAGATACAATTAGAAAATCCACTGTAAGTCAGTATACTAAACAGCTATTGCTTTTCCATTGTAAGGACTGCAGGTCATCTTTTGGGGTGGTCTGTTTTCTTACAAAGGCACCTAACTCAGTATCTTTTATCCTTCATTATTCTGGACTGCTAGATTTAATCTCATGTTCAACTTTTGTGTGTTTTTATAAAAAATTTATTTCCTTGTAAGCAAATCTGTGTCTACTTTAGAAGGCTGGAAATAGAAAAAAATTACTGCCAAATCCTTTGGAAAAAAAAAACAACCACCCAAACTTTGGTGAAATCTGTTGAATTGGGGCCAGGGAGATAGCTCAGTAGAATAAGTGCTTGCCTGGCAAGCACAAAGGCCTGAGTTCAATCCCCGGTTCCACCAAAAAAAAAAAAAAAAAAAAAAAAAGAAATCTGTTGAATCACTGTAAGAACTATAATCACATGTAAGCTGCAGCAGAAAGAAGAGCATTGTGATTTTGAGGCTAGTTTTGGTAGTACAGCAGGTTCAATGGCCTCCTATGATACACATAGCAAGACCTGTCTCCAAAAAAAAAAAAAAAAAAGGAAAGAATATAATCATATATAAATGACAAATCACAAATCATTGTGATCTATGTATCTGAAATTTAAGAATTCACAGATCTAATGTAGTTTAAGAAGAAAAAATTATATACACAGTATGATCATAACTTTGAGAAAAAGCAAAACATGCTTTTAAATACATGTTAAAAAGAAACTGCAACAAAATATTGTCAATGGAATAGTAAAATTAAGAATTATTCTAATAAGTGCTTTCCTGGCGAGCGCAAGGGCCTGAGTTCAATCCCCAGCTTGGGGGAAAAAAAAAAAAAGAATTATTTTAGATTTTTTAAAAGTGTCTATGGAGCGCTATATAATTTTTAATTTGGCAATTACAAATTGATAGCTTACTGTGGATAAGGTGTTCTTTAACACCAATGCATGGAGAATTTAGAGTTATGTAAAAAGTTCTTATAAAGATATTGGAATGCCTGCCTGGCTAGCATAAGGTCCTGAGTTTGATTCCTGGTATCACAAATAATTAAAAAAAGAGACTGATTACTTTAGATTTTCTAAAATGTGAAACAATAAGTTTCAAATTTAAAAAGGAATAGTGTATGGTTGGGCATGGTGGCACAAGCTCGTAATCCCAGCATTCAGGAGGCTGAGACAGGTAATTTGCCTTGAGTTTGAGGACATCTTGGGTTACACAGTGAGTTCAAGGCCATCCCGAACTACACAGAGAGCCTGTCTCAAAAAACAAACAACCCCACCCACCCAAAATAGCATAGTGGTACATGCCTATAATCCCAGCACTCAGGAAGTAGAGGCAAGAGAATTATTGCTAGCATGAGACCACTGTGGGATACATTATGAATATAAGGAAATTCATATAAATCACCTACCTCATAACAGTACTGTTGAACTTTATGCAAAACTTTGTTTAGGTCCTTATTCAGCTGTTCAAGCTCTAGAACAATTGTTGCATATCTCCGCTGAAACTCAATGCCAATGGGCATGGAATATGATTTCTGAGAAGAAAAAAAAAATCAGATTTTGATAAGATTTTACTTTGTGTTCACAATGCAATTTCTTTCTTTTTTTCTTTTCTTTTCTTTTTTTTTTTTAAATTTTATTTGTGTGTGTGTGTGTGTGGCCAGCTCAGCCCACCAGGGGGCGGGGCGGGCTGGCACGTGGTGCTGGGGGATTGAACCGCGGTCCCTGTGCTTTGCCAAGCCTGTTCCAAATAGGTGCTTTAGACCACTGAGCCATCTCACCAGCCCCAACAATGCAATTTCAATGGTCTAATGATCTGACATATCCAAAACAAGTTGAAGGTCGTTTACTGTACACTAATGTTAGCATTCTTTATATGACAATGCTTGCAGATTATTCTTCCAAGTGTCATGATGCCTGGCATTTACTTTATTTTTTATGTATTTAGTACAGGGTCTACAGGGTCTTGCTACACAGATTGGACTTATAGTGATCCTCCGGTTTTCGGCCTCCCAAGTGCAGGGATTACAGATGCATACTACCACGCCTGGTCTCAATCACTGTCTCAGTGTGCCCCGGGGGTGGGGCCAGCACAGCATGCCAGGGATTGAACCCCAGTCCCTGCATCTGCCTAAGCAGGTGCTTTAGTCTGCTGAGCCATCTGGCTGGCCCTTACTTTTTTTTTTTTTTTTTTTTTGGAACCGGGGATTAAACTCAGGCCCTTGCGCTTGCCAGGGAAGTGTTTATTCTACTGAGCCATCTCCCAGCCCTGCTTTTTTTTTTTTTCTTTTAAAGGACAGAAAGTAAATTAAGCAAAAGGTTAATTGATGAATCTATCTATCTATCTATCTATCTATCTATTCGTTTATTCTTTTTCTTAGTGCTTCAACTTTTCATGTTTGCTTTTTTAATGGAACCGGGGATTGAACTCAGGCCCTTGAGCTTGCCAGGGAAGTGCTTATTCTACTGAGCCATCTCCCCGGCCCCTTTATTTGCTATTTTTTATATACAGTCATCTAAAAATCAAATGCATTCCTTTTAAGGACTCTCATTTAAACTCTATGGATTTTTACCTAAAATTAGCATAATGTTTAAAAGTATGAGTGCCAGAATCAGTCTCCTTTCTCTTTCTCTCTCTCTATATATACACACACACATAAACACATTCAAATTCCTATACTATCAGCTGCTAGCTATGCAACATTTAAGTAAGTTTCTTAATCACTGAACTTCAGTTTCTTCATCTACAAAGTTAGAACAGCTACCTAATGGGACTACTGCAAAGATTAAATGAGATTAAATAACAGTGCCTCCTATACAGAAAATGGTCATTTAGCCATGGATATTGCTCAGCAGCATAGTGCTTGGCTGGCAAGTCTGAGGTCTGGAGTTCAATTCCCAGTACAAAAAAAAAAAAAAGAA